TTCATTTCACATGTACATACATATGTATGTACTTATGAGTGTATGTATGTACATATGTACATACACGAAGTAAAAGCTTTACATGAAATACTCATACGACGCGGTGTACCTTGCGAACCGGTGTACAATGTCGCTTGAAATGGAATGAAACGGAGTAAATTCGTATTGCGCCATTTACCTATGTTGCTTCATTTTCATGCGCTTCCTTTTCAAGGCATTGTATATTTTGGCTTAAATGACTTATATACATATGTAAGTATGTATGTATATCCACATTTCATGTAGATCTTTATTATTTGCTTGCTTGAAAAAACAAAATATTTCGTGTCAAAATGAATAATCAAAACCAACAACAAATGTTCGTCTGCAGCGTTTTTGCTTTAACCATTAGCTACATTTATTCATATTTTCCTGTTGTCGCAGCTGAGTTTAATTTGGACAAGTCTTTATTATTATCATTAGGGGTATTCACGATCCGGCGCATGTGGTCTAGCATGTGTTCAAACAACAACAAAATCAGCCAATCGTGCTATCTATGGACCATACTGGACCATATGCACCGGATTGTGAATACCCCTATTGTTATAGCATGAGGACATATACATACATACATACATATCCATGTATGCAAGTGTGTATATTTCATGTATGGATACNTTGTGAATACCCCTATTGTTATAGCATGAGGACATATACATACATACATATGTACATATCCATGTATGCAAGTGTGTATATTTCATGTATGGATAAGTTTTTTGTATACGTATGTTTATTTGTAGTTTCTGATGTGTGCTGTCGTTATTATAATAGTTTTTCATGTTCTTCCTTTTTGTGGTATGACAAATGTGTTAAAAGTAATTACTTTTATACACATACTAAAATGCAAGGAAAGTCAAATTGATCATATTTTAAGGTGATAGCAAAAATATGAAAATGCTTCGCATGCGTTTTCTTTTGCCTTATTTATTAAGTTCAGAAAGTTTTTGTTTACTACGTGTTGTCCTAAAATGGTGTCACAACAACCAACTGCGTGGTTGCATGGCATTAGGTTCATATAATATTGAGAAATATTTTCCCTCAAACTTCCTGAAAAGTTTAAAAATATTTCTTTTGAAAAAAAGGAATATTAAATAATGCATTGGTTTATAAAGTAAATTGAATAGATGGCAACGCTCTTAAGAAAAAAATTCCGAAATAAAGGTTTCTTAAGCTTCTTTCGGTTTACATCTTTATATGTTGTAATATTTAGTTCCTCTTTTTACATAACTAAATTGAATTTGACGTTTAGACAGGTGGCAACTCTCTTCAAGGGTTTTCTAAATAAAGATTTCTTACACCTCCTTGCTTGACACAAATATTGCAATATCTTATTAACCTTATTGATGCAACTTAATTTTTCTCAAAACCATTTTCGAAATAGGTGGCAACTCCCTTCAGACAAATCTTGCGAAATAAAGGTTTTTTAAGCCTTTTTAATTAGACACCGTTATTTAAGTATTTTTTTCCACTGATTAGTTAAATTGAATTTTACTTTTAATCAAGTGGTAACCCTCTAAACATGTTTTCGAAATAATTATTTATCATACCGCTTCGTTTGACATGCAGATCGTAATATTTAATTGAACTTGTTAATTAAATTGATTTTGACTTTCAGATAGTTGGCAACCCTAGTCTAAGTATTTTCAAAATAAAGCTGTCTTTAAGGTTTCTGGAATGCCAACCATATTAAAATATGTATTTAACTAAAATTATTAATAAAATTGAATTAAATTTTTTTTAACAGTTGGTAACCCTGTTTTCGAAATAATTCTTTTTATAAATTTCGATCGTTTGACATTCATATTGTAGAATTTCGTTGTACTAATAGTTTTAATTTAATTTCCATTTTGAACAGGCGGTAACCCTCTTGGAATATCCTAACCTTGTAGTGTTATTGAAAATGGGTCCAGCTTTTGTAAACTTAATATTTTATCGCAATATTTTGGCGAAAGTCCTTAAATTTAAAACATTTTATAATTCCGGTGGGAAAACTGTAACTTTTTTTTTAGTGAGACACTCGCAACTGATAAAAGTTAATATGGAAACAAATTGAATATATTATTTTTAGTATGCCAATTTGTTCGCCTGCACTTTATAACTAAACAGGGAATGCTATATTTTAAGGATATCATCAAAGCAAAGACTTTTAGAAAATCAAATCTGCATAGTTCTTAATTGTTTTATTTAAATTAAGCCTCAGTAAAAGTTTTTAGCAAATTTATTGCTGCAATGATTAATATTTTCACACGGCCAACCACACATGTGCTTACACTGCATATGTATGTATGTATGTATGTATATACAAGCAATTACCTACCGATGTAGGCGAACTTACAGGACACGTTTGGCTTTCGTCTGATATGCGTAGCGTATCCAAAAACAAATTGCTTTTTTTATTATTCTGTTGTGGTTGGCAGCACGCACATATTTACCGATGACTGCACAGCTATGTTGTATGCATACACTTCCTCAANCTTTTTTTATTATTCTGTTGTGGTTGGCAGCACGCACATATTTACCGATGACTGCACAGCTATGTTGTATGCATACACTTCCTCAAAGCTCATCAACGTCTTCAATGTATGTATGTGCGTAGATACATATGCATGTATTTATAGTATATGAACAAACAAGTAATTGACTTCCAGGAAACAGGCAACAAAACTAGGTAAATAATCAAGATTTACATACAAACATACTAATGTACATACGTGCTGCGAACCATTGTCGTAGCCGAGAAAAGTTAGTCAGTCAGGTAAAGTAATCAACTGACAGCCAGCCAGCCAGTCGATTGACTGACCGACTATGTGGGGCTTAGTTTTTCTAGCACAATACACGTAGCCAACTGGCCAGTTATTATGTGAAGGACGGAGATGTGTTTTCATATGCCTTAACTGTTTCTAAAAATTTTGCTTTGTTTGGAATTTTCCATTATTAAGTAAATTTATCTCCATGTAGGTACATATTTAAGTATGTATGCAGGCATGTAAACTTGTATGCATGTGTAAATAGGTGTAGCCTTATTTTTATGTTATTGGTTTTTTTTTTTGGTGTACTTTTTACTAAAACCTTCTCACCTGCTTGCTACTAGCAAATATTTACATACCTTGTTATCCTTTTGCCATGAGCATGTGCCTCGCTTATCGATAACTTTGCATGTTAATAAGGCGTCCTGACCCGGATTCACTTCGCTATACTTTGGTTGTTCTGAGAATCGTTGAAAGCAATTTATTCCTAGAAATATACGAATAGCAGTAAATATATAAATTAGTGATAGGTAAAAGTGTAAAACAAAATGCTTGGCAATTTAATGTAACTACATACATTAGTTAATATGTATTTGTAAATTTAATAAACATAATTATATGTAGGTACGGTGGCATCCTAAGAAAGTGATCGAAGTGTGTGTGTAATCTTTTTTTTATTGAAGGGAATTAGTTTGAATTGATTTGAGTCCATGAGCACCAGAGTGCTAGTTGTTAATTCTATTGTCTCATTATGGCTTTCATGGCTTCATTTTTAATTTATATTTAGTATGTACAAATAGAGAGACACAAATTAGCTTGCCATTAGAAGAAAAAAAGTTTTGTATAGATAAGTTATGTTGCACTTTTTGACCTTCTTTATAAAATAAGGCTAAGAACACCATTGAATAATGGCTGGTTTCTCCAACTCAACTTAACTTAGTTTAGCCACTTTTTGGACTTAAGTCAAAATTTAGCCTACGTTTTACACAGCTTATTCTTGACTAAGTTAAGAAAATTGACTTAACTAAGTCTAGTTGAGTTGGAGAAACCAGCCTTAAGAGTTTTAATCAAGAAGAAAATTAGCATTGTCTAAGCCAGTACCCAGCACTGGACAGCTCAATATTGTAGTAACTCTTCAACGAGACCAATGTTGGAGTACTGTCCTGTGGCATTAAAAAGATGTTAACGTCTAAGTAGATCTCTGTCTCCAGAATTTTCAATCTAACACTAGCACCCATTTTTTTGCCGATGGATGAAAGTATAAGGTAAGGATAGGCTTAGAAGAGCATAAAGAGCGCCAGAAGGCTATTGAATTAGAGTTTGCTCTACAACAAAAAAGATGTATAGCTCTAAGACCACTAAGGCTTTGAAACTCCATTGTTGTTTAACGTGCGACTTCCACAAAAAATTGCTGGGATTACAAAAATAAAAATATGTCAACTTCCTTTCAGAAGAAATCTGCATGGTGACTCCTTTAATAGAAGGAGGAACAAGGCCGTCGAATATTCTCTTTATAAAGAAGATTAAGATGAAGACGGTATGTAAGTAAGTTCAAAAGCTCAGTACTTTCCTTATGTACTACAGGCTGGATGCCATTCTTCTTATGACATCTTTATTTGCCACAGTTCTTGCAACATCCCATTTGTAGCTTGAAAATTTTTTTCTAACATTCTCTCTCTCCCTCTCGAAGCAGAAGAATGTGTCACCGCCACTTGATTTAAAGGTAATGAAATAAGAGCCTCATTCTTGTCTACGCAAAAAGGCTCATCAGCAGCCGGATTCCTACTGTCGCTATCGCAAATTTTTATAAATAAAAGTCTTCAAGAATTGTTATCTAAGGCATATAATCTAAAAATCAAAAATAACTGTTATTTGCAGCTTTTTAGATAAAAATTAAAAATAACTGTTATTTTGGATTTATAGAATAAAAATCATAAATAAATGTTATTTTTATTAATTTTACATAAAAAGTACAAAAAAAAAATTATTTCAAATTTGATTCTCAGTGAAAAGAGAAATCGATTGGTATGTATCACTTCGTTGTAGAACCTGGATGACTACCTATATATGTGGACTATTTTGTTTTATTACTCAATTGTTAAGTTTAAAAAATGGTATTATAGCTCAACAAGAAATGAAACAATTGAATGCGAAATTATCACAAATTTGCGTTTTTGCCGTTTGTGTTATTTCAACCAATTCAAATAAATTTTTTCTATCTAATAACTTTGCGCCATGTAGTTCGCAATTTGACATAGCCATGAAACAAAGATTCCATAAAAGGAATATTTGAATGGGATTTTAATAATGTAAGCAGAATTTTTGATTTATTGACTTTTACCAATCTTTTTTAAGGAAAGTCCATAAATGAGGGTATTCAGAAAAAAAACAGAGCTTGCAATACTTAATGCAGCTTGTACGTACATATGTATGTATAGTTATTTTTTGTAGGCGTATTGAATAAAAAATGCTTACTGAAAAAACGTTTATAAAGCTTTTTTCCATTAAGTCCCAATCAAATTTAACCCATAGTATGTATTTGAATCGAACTGAGTTATTTTATTTTTTATTTATTTTTGTATTTTTGTATAAATCTCACAGCTTTAAGCCTTTTGTTTATTGCCATTCATTGCACGCCATATGTCATGCAATACACGGCGCCATTCACAGCAAGCGAAACTCAAGCGTCACCGATCGATCCAACCAGCCTATTGTTTTGCATACTTCACGGCGCTTTATTCTACTGAATATACATTTGTCATTCATTCATTCATACATGCTCACTCACTCACTCACTCAATGTCCAACAACCCACAGGCAAACGTGCAAACACGCAGCAAACATTTATTCATACTCGTACTCGTATTTTACGCTTTTACTTCTATTCATTATTTATTATGCAATGTTGATGATTTTTATCGCATATCAAATAAATTTGCAGCTTCAGTGAGCACAAAAGCATTTTATGAGTATGCGACAACAACGAAAACGAAATACCACATACATATGTATGTTTGCATATGTATGTACATACGAACATGACGTTATTTATGTAGGCATGAATAACTGAATAAATGACGGAGAAGGAGAAAGCAAATATTTACGCGTTTTTATGCATATTCATTGAAGAAAACGTGGAGCAAGAATAAAAACAACAACCGAAAGTGTCAGTTACTTATGAGCCGCGCTATGAAGTGATCCAATGTCTTTATTTATATGCTCGTAAATACTTTTAAAAGTCTTTATTAGTATACGTGAGTTATTATACTTAGAGATATCAGTCTAAGACGTACATAGGTGTTGTATTGGATTGAGTAATAAATTGATGATCCTAAATATTTTTATGACAATATTCCTATATAAAAAGCGACCTTTGGTATGACTGAAAAAATTTATCATTTATTTTATTTAAGGAGAAATTGTCTTTGTCTCCGCTGCTATGAATATGAGTAAAAAAGCGTTTTGAAATTAAATGATGCAAGTTTTTGAATGAATAAATTTAGTTTAGGTACATTTTAAATTTAAAATGCAATATAAATTTACACATTAAATTAATATATTATCTTAAAAATATTTAAATTTTACATTAAATTCGATAACCACTTGCCAAAAACTTTTTTATGTCAATAATATTTCATTGAACATATTTAAAAAAAAAAAAAAAATTAAGTATCTTATGTCATCCGATTATTTCTCAATGTAACTAAATAGCCAGGACTATTACAGTCTTCTATCTCGGATGCGATTATTTCTGATACAATTCGGACACTGAAAATACTAATTTCGACGTGTAGTTTAACACATATTTAGGTAAATCACAAGTCGTGTTAGGCATCTTAAAGTCTTGAAAGTTTTAAAATTGCTCATTATAAAGTTACTGTTCCATAATGGAGCGGATGTGAAACAAAATTGATGCTGAGGAGTTGCCATCTGAAGGAAAATTTCGGTATAAGTAAATTGATAAAATAAAGTAAATATTGCAATGTGGCTATCAAAAGAAAGGAGTTTAAGAAGGCTAACTGCCGAAAATATATTTGTGAAAGAGTGTCACATGTTTGAAAATTTTCGTTTAATTTAATTGACAAGATAAATTAAATATTGCAATATGGGTATCAAACGAATGACGTTAAGGAAATTTTACTGCCAAAAATATTTTTGAGGAATGTTGCCATATGTTTGAAAATTCTTATTCAACTAAATTGATGAAATAAATGAAATACGAATATTAAATTAAAGAGATTTAAGAAAGTTTACTGTTGAAAATATATTTGAGGGGGTTTTCACCTATTTGAAAAACTTAATTCAGTTCAATTTATAGGAAAAAGTAGATATTGAATTAGTTCACCTTTAAAGCTTTCAAGAAAGTGCGCGATGTGTAGACTCGAGTTATAAGTCTATAAATTAAATTCCCATGAGAAAGCCTACTTTACCTACCTACGTTCTGAGTAGCTTCGAAAATATCCTACATTTGTTTGAAAAACTCATTTCATAAAGCTCTTTAAATCTACATATGTGACCTGGTCTACGAAAAGGGAGCTTACGTGCGAAAACTAGTTTTCTGTGAAAAAGCTGTTAAAAGTAAGCAACTCGTTTCGTCAGTTTTTCATAATCTCGTTAATTGTTCTCCGTGCCGGACGTCCAGCAAGTGTTGTTGTTGGTCCAGTAAGTGTTGTTGTTGGTCCAGTAAGTGTTGTTGTTGGTCGGAATATGATGAAGACGAAGTATGTGTATCTCAGGCAGAAGAATAAATTATATTTTGTCGTATTTTTACTCTTCTTTCTCTACATTTTTAGTACACTTCTAAGCAAGTTAGGATTTTCTACTTTTCACCACGTAAAAAAGCATCTCATCTTCCATCCGAATCAACCAAAAAGTGAAAATTGATTTTTTGACACCTAAGCCCCCTTTCCGTAGACCAGGTCACATATTTATTTTTTAATGAATGGGGCCATGCGAGTTTTGGGAGGGAGTAAAAACACAAAAATACTTTTAAGGCACAGTGAAGCACGGGTATTTGCTAACCTATAATATTTGTGTACAAGTAAATTAAATTCGAAATTTCCAACAGGGTGAAAACCTCTTCAAAATAATTTGAAACTAAAACCTTCTTAAACCTCTTTCGTGAGACACCCATAATGATGTACATATTTTAATTAACTAATTTCCCAAAGTTGAATTTGACTTTTTCAATAGGTGGCAACTCTAATTAATGTGCTTTAGAAATAAAGACTTTTCAACCCCATTTAAATTGATAAGCGAATTTAAATAATCCATTTAACTTACTGAATAATTTGAATTAAGTTTTTTAACTCGTGGCAACCCTAATCAGGAAAACAAAGAATATTTATTTCAAATCTACAGGCAGAGCCTATTAATTTGACAACTGAAAAAGGGTTTGTGGGTACATTTTCAAAATGAAATATTTTCATGAGGCGGAAAAAGGCGGCGAACGAGGGTTAAAATTACCATAAACCTTAAAAATATTTC